CATGAAAAAAAATGTTTTAGGCGCAGTGGGCGGTGAGGGCACTGGCTACTTCACAACGGTAGTGCATATGTTTGGCGAACTGCAGGAGGGAGAGAAAGTTTGGGAGGACCTATTAATCATGCTGAGCCTAACCATGGTTCTACATGCGGTAGGCAAGCCGCCTAGGTTAGCCATCCAATTCTGCAGTCGCTTTCTACATGCGATCCACTAGGAGATATCCAGTGTAACTGCTGTTGCCGGTCACTGGCTATGTAGCAAGGCTCAGGAAATTGTGGAGCTCCCTGTCCCTATTAATCCCTTCCTTCCCGTGCTGGCTGTGCATGGCCGTCTCTTTTCTGCTGAAGCATTTGGAATGCAATGACTGTTCCCTGGCGCCATGTTGGCACTCTTGTGCGCAGAGGTCACTCGACCCTACCTGTACAGTGCTAATGGGTACTTCAGCGTACCAGAGTGTGCAGGATGCGTTGTTCCGTCGTCAGCATCGCTTGGTCACAGCGGGCGATGAAGCTGTATAGCTCCAGGTGCGCGGCTCGTAAAATGCCATTTAACACTTGTCCGTCCAACCCGATATCGTCAAGGTCATCCATGGTTTCTTCCAACTGGTACTGCAATCTCGTGGCCGCAATTTTAACTCGATGGAAGAAAAGTAACTGTTGCAGTAGGATACGAACATGGTCAGCAGTTGCACTGCGGGCTGCCCTGAGCATGGAGAAGGTCCGACGTGCGCCACCCTGAGTCTTATGAGATACCCTGGCACGAATAGATTGATGGACAAGGAACACAGTAGCGGGGAAGCTTTAGCCAAAAGTCACGGACGCATGAAGATATGCGCTTGGAGTACTAACTGCTGCATACGGTTGGCAAAGGAACAAATGACCTGACTTACCGCAATGGCTGCATTTCACAGGCTGTGGGCAATCACGAGCAAAGTGTCCTCTTTTGCCGCTTTTATCTGCCTCCTGCCCGGCTCACCAAGCTAATTGCCCTCCTCTGGCCGGATGCGAGCCAGGATAATGACTCTGATGGGTAGAGGGATCATTTTCCAACACGAAAATGGGATCATTTCCCAACACGAATATAGGATCAAATTCAAACACGAAAATGGATCAAAATCAAACAATAGTAGTCAACCCAGGAAGATGGACTTGTCATGGTACATCAACCTGCTCGATGTCTGTGTTTCGTTACAGTATCAACACGGTCGAGAAGCTCCCGGCAGCCAGTCGCTCATATTTTTTTCTTTCGACCTTCCTGTTGTGACGTCACTTTTGATATTGCAACGCGGGTGAAAATCCCCCAGCCGCTAGCCGCTCATATTCCTGTTGTGACGTCACTTTTGATATTTCAACGCGGGTGAAAATCCCCCAGCCGCTAGCCGCTCATAACTCTTTCGCTTGCGAATTTCCTGTCATGACATCACCAGGCACCACAGATGAGACCCGACATTGAAAACACAAGCAAATCACGGTCTGGCAATTGTCCCTGTCCTCGGGACTTTGGGCGCCAGTGCTGCCCGGACCTCCAAATTTTCTGATTGAGGGATCATGCTGGGATGAGCTGCCAAGGATTCGATATCAGGAAGTTACAGAACATGAAGCCTACGAACCCGAATGCCGACATGATGCAAGTGTAGCCGATCCACAGACTATACAGGCACCCGTGGAAGTCAGGACTAAACACCGCGGGGTTGGTACAACTGCATGGAACGCACTGGTTACGTCGAAGTCAGAAAAGGCGGGGCCTGGATCAGAAATCCTATTGGTAACGCTTCAACGCTGGGGCCAAATATCTACATCAAAATGTTACTGGAGATGTTAGTTCCTACTGGAACGCTAATGGAATATTTCTGCTAATTCTATGTCTTCATAAGCTTTCCCTGCATGGAACGCTAATGGAATATTTCTGCTAATTCTACGTCTTCATAGGCTTTTCCTGCATGGAATCGCTACTACTGGATATCTAAATCTGCACCACACTTCCAGACTCTGCTACAGGATCCTTTTCACTTCTTCACATATCGCAAAACACGATTGTATTTCTCAGCGGACAGCCACTTCTCTTTACTGATTTTTCAGACCTGCCCAAACCACTTGAGAAAATCCCCATGTGAACACCGCTTCTCAAGGCTATTCCTGCCAGAATCTCATGCGCATTGTGTTTACTTCATACTGGAACTTCGGATTCACAAGTCAGGTTTGGACAGAAGGGTTGCATATATCAAAAACTGTGGTGGACAAGGGTGCATTTATAGGAGGAAGCAGCAGCAGCAGCAACAGCAGCAGCAGCAGGAGGCAGCAGCAGCAGCAGGAAGCAGCAGGAAGCAGCAGCAGCAGCAGCACCAGAAGGCAGCAGCAGAAGCAGGAGGAAGCAGCAGCAGCAGCAGGAGGCAGCAGCAGCAAGCAGCAGCAAGGAGCAGCAGCAAGGAGCAGCAAGCAACAGCAAGCAACAGCAGTACGCAGCAGCAAGCCAGCAGGAGCCACAAGCAGCCACAAGCAGCCACAAGCAGCCACAAGCAGCCACAAGCAGCCACAAGCAGCAAGCAAGCAACAAGCAAGCAGCAAGCAAGCAGCAAGCAAGCAGCAAGCAAGCAGCAACCAGCGTGTGCCCCATTGAAAGAATGATCAAATATTATAAGTTTTTAAATCATGGCAGAAATGGCTGTCAGGACAGCATCTAATTATATACAATAGTTTCCATTGGTATACCGGTATACCCATGGAAGTTGCTGCAAGATTTAAACGTGCCACTTTCAAGCCGTCATGCAAAACCCAAGCTAAACGCAAAAAGTACCGACTTACCCGAATTGCTTTCCCGCATGGAAATGAACCGTTCAATTGCAAACAGAACCGATTTCCACATCCACCTGTAAGTCTGTCCACGATGCTACACCACATACGATAAGCATGTCCACAGACTAAAAAATCTGTCCGATCCACATACCACATGTCTGTTAAACAGCGCTGCGCAGCCAAGCTCCGCGCCTGTATCAGCGCCGGCCCGCATAGCGTCTGCCTCCAACATATGTGCTTTTTGACATGTCACAACACATGCCAATTGACATGTCACAAATTTGTTCGCAGAAACTATTATCAGGATACTAATTTCAGGATAGGGGTTTATAGCAGCCTCAGGTGGGTCGAACGCCGAAGAAGCTTGCCCCGGCTGCTTGTAATTCGGATCCTGCCGCAGCCACCGACATATATACCTCTTAAAATGTCACCGCGCTCGCCAACTGTAAACATACATGTCAACTGACATATATACTGTTTGACATGTCACAACACATGCCAACTGACATGTCACACATTTGTTCGCCGAAAATATTATCAGGATACTATTTTCAGGATAGGGTTTACTGGAAGTTGGCATGCTCTGGCCACATAGCAGCCTCAGGTGCGTCAAACGCCGAAGAAGCTTGCCCCGGCTGCTTGTCATTCGGATCCTGCCGCCGCCACCAACATATATACTTCTTAAAATATCACGACACATGCCAACTGTAAACATACATGTCCACTGTCATATTTACTTTTTGACATGTCAAAACACATGCCAACTGACATGTCACAAATTTGTTCACAGAAACTACTATTAGGACACTATTTTCAGGATACGGTTTTCTGGAAGTTGGCATGCTGTGGCCACATAGCAGCCTCAGGTGGGTCAAACGCCGAAGAAGCTTGCCCCGGCTGCTTGTAATTCGGATCCTGCCGCAGCCACCAACATATATAACTCTTCAAATGTCACAACACATGCCAACTGTAAACAGACATGCCAACTGACATGTCACAAATTCCTTCGCAGAACATATTTTCAGGACGGGGCTTACTAGAACTTAGCGTGCTCTTCACACATAGCAGCCTCAGGTGCCCCAAATGCCGAAGAAGCTTGCCCTGGCTGCTTGCATTTCCGATCCTGCCGCAGTCACCAACATATCCTTGTTGAAATGTACCAACGCATGCCAACTGACACGTCACAAATTTGTTCGCAGAAACTATTTTCAGGATACTATTTGCAAGATAGGTTTTACTGGAACTTGGCATGCTGTGGCCACATAGCAGCCTCAGGTGGGTCAAACGCCGAAGAATAAGCTTGCCCCGGCTGCTTGTAATTCGGATCCTGCCGCAGCCACCAACATATATAACTCTTCAAATGTCACAACACATGCCAACTGTAAATGTCACCACACCTGACAACTGTAAACATACATATCAACTGACATATTTACTTTTTGACATGTCACAACACATGCCAACTGACATGTCACAAATTTGTTCGCAGAAACTATTATCAGGATACTATTTTCAGGATAGGGTTTACTGGAAGTTGGCATGCTCTGGCCACATAGCAGCCTCAGGTGCGTCAAACGCCGAAGAAGCTTGCCCCGGCTGCTTGTAATTCGGATCCTGCCGCAGCCACCAACATATATACTTCTTGCAATGTCACGACAAATGCCAACTGTAAACAGACATGCCAACTGACATGTCACAAATTCCTTCGCAGAACATATTTTCAGGACGGGGCTTCCTAGAACTTAGCGTGCTCTTCACACATAGCAGCCTCAGGTGCCCCAAATGCCGAAGAAGCTTGCCCTGGCTGCTTGCATTTCCGATCCTGCCGCAGTCACCAACATATACTTGTTGAAATGTACCAACGCATGCCAACTGACATGTCACAAATTTGTTCGCAGAAACTATTTTCAGGATACTATTTGCAAGATAGGTTTTACTGGAACTTGGCATGCTGTGGCCACATAGCAGCCTCAGGTGGGTCAAACGCCGAAGAAGCTTGCCCCGGCTGCTTGTAATTCAGAGCCTGACGCAGCCACCAACATATATACTTCTTAAAATGTCACAACACATGCCAACTGTGAACATGCATGCCAACCGACGTGTCACAAATTTCTTCGCAGAACATATTTTCAGGATGGGGCTTACTAAAACTTAGCGTGCTCTGGCCACATAGCAGCAAATTAGAGATTTGTTGTGTGGCAACCTCCGGGGTCAGCTTTGCGCCGGCACCTCGGCCACCGTGGAGTCGTAGCCTCTGACTGCTTCCAGGAAACGTCGGGTGGAAGCAGCAGGTGATCCCAAGAGTTCCATTAAGGCCGCTAGGCTCCAGTTCTTCAGCTCTTCCTCTGTCAGCTCGTACCGGCAAAACAATGCCGCATATTGCTGCATGTTGTGTATGTTCAACAACTTTCTCAAGTCAGGCGAGATGGTAGTGGCTCTTTGGGTTGCCTGTGCTTTTCGTTCCTTTGACGGTAACCCTGCGGCATCTCTCCTGGGGGTCAGCAGAGCCGTCTTTTTCTTTGTTTTCCGCTTCGGATCTTGGCGCTTCAAAGGCTCATCCTCATTCAAGTGGCCGGTCAGCCGGTAGCCCACATAACAATGACTGCACGTACCATATGTACTGAAAGTGGGGCATGCAAAGCAAAGAGAGCTGCGATGATGTCCACCCTCCCCAGGTTCGTGTCGCAGAATCCAAGATTTCTCGGCGCGCGGGCCAATCACTGTAAGCACCCACCTTTGCAAACAGGTCAAGGTTTTGGTCATGCCTTCTGCCGTAGGCTCCAAACTGCCTCCCAAATTGCACAAAGCTTCTGAATTGATCTGGTCCTCATCCTCGATGAGCAGCAAGCGCTTCAGTTCGAAGAGCACAGCCGGAGTCAAAGCAGTCCTAAGAGCAACCGCATGAAAACAATTCACACAAATTCAGTTGTACTTACTATATTATGCTTGCGAAACAGAAGTTCCTAGCCACAAGTTCAATTTAAAAAAAAGGAATAAATGTGACTGATTGTAAGTTGAAGACGAAGAAACGATTGTTATTTTGTTGGGCGCTTATCTTGATCGAATGAAACTATAGTCACCTAGTTGTGTGCACATGTCTCTGTGGCCGCGTCTCTGAGCATGTGGTAGAGCTGCCGCATCCCGCCGCATGGCGATAAACAGGTTGCCATCACCATCTTCTTCTGCCACGTAGTGTTGACCAGATATGTATGCCTCAGCTTCCCGCCGAAATGTCGGTGACCATGCACCGCACAGGACATCTGTCATGGTTGACGTTTTTGCCTGCATTGCTTCGGTGCTGCGGGTCTTCAAAAAAACCTCCAAGGATTGTAGGACCGAGGAAATTGGTTTGTACAGAGAAGGCATTGCAGCTTTCACCCGGTGGCGATGGAAAGACTCCTGCGATGCGACAAAACAAACATGAGATCAAGCTGCAATTTGCAACAGCCAAGTGACTAGGCCAGCTGAAAACTCATCACATCTGTTGGATCTATACAACAGCCTAGTGCTGTCGCGTGTGTACATATCCATAGGACTATGTCCGCATATATCTATATATAATTATGTGCGCATGAATGTTTTACTCACAGTGTATCACGATCACCATGCATATGGCCTGAGGTTGTGAGCCACAATAGCTTCCAGGCTGCAAGGACCCTGCAGCCCAGTGAGCACGATACCGCCCAGACGCAGTCACGTGCACATAGTACGTCCGGAGTTTTTGGACAGCGTCCACTTCGCCGGCCAATTCCAAGGCGGTGAGAAACTGGTCCCAGATTGCATGGAACACCGGCCATGGCATGTGCCGCGAGCCGTGCGCCACACCCTCCATGGTCGGCAACCAGGACTCATCGGTCAGTGTTTTTCGCATCACAGTGAACATCCCGCTCCTCCATGGGCAATCAGTCTCGGCGGCAAGGCCTTGGTCCTTCTTCTTCGCTCTTGTAGCTCCTATAGCATGGCTATAGTCTCCAGCAAAGATCGCCGACCCGGACAGAAAGTTATAACCTACAAGTTTTGCACGTTAGTGGCATTGCTGCTTGACAAATAACAAGTATATAGGTGACAAGTCCAGTACAGGACACTGCCCAGACATGGCTGTCATGAACCTGGACATGTTTGGGAATCTGGGAACAAAGAAACTCACCGTGGGTTGGCATGGAGCCCCCCCTGCCTGTAATGCGATTCGCGAGCAACCTGCAGGCCAGCGTGGAAATCTCCATGACATTGCCTCACTATGGTCTTGAAGCTATCCACTCCGCAGAGAGTGCGCATCATGCCGTCAACGTCTTCAAATAGCCGACCATATGTGATGGAATGTTCCGTCGACACAATGGAAACCATAAGTTCTCGGAAGGAGGTTGGAAAGGTGTACAGCGTTGCGTCTGGATCATTCACATCGCGTTGTGTTCCGATCTGCTTCCCGAGTATGCCATAGAAACAGAGAGCGCAGCTTTGATTGCACAGTCTATAGATTCCATCTGTGCATACTTTCACGAACGTTTTGTTTTCCAACAGTTCCCAGTGGCGTTTGGTGAGCCGTGGTAGGCATAATGAAATGCATACATGCTCATCTCCCAAATGACAATTCACCAGAGTCAGCTTGTCTTCATCGAGGTTTGCATCCTGCAACTTCTGGCATGTTCTCTGAAGCAGCTCAAAGTCGGCTGTAGTCCAAACTCCTGACGGGGGCCTTCCGACTCCAACTTGCCGATTTGCCCGCACGGTGTCGTCGCGGGCCCGTAAATTTTTCAAAAAAGTCTTCACGTGCTGCTCGCGGGGTACAGGACCATCCAAAGCATCTGAAGTGTTCAGAACCTGCTCCACAAGACCAAAGTACTTAAGGAAACCACGCGACTGGTGAGCTTTAGTGTGACGGACAACCTTTGATATGCATATCTGTACTACCCATGAATGTGCTGGAACAAACAAACATTCTTCACAAAGGACCACGGGACCAGAGGACCAGGGGACCAGAGGACCAGGGGACCACAGGACCAGAGGACCAGGGGACCACGGGACCAGAGGACTAGAAGACCAGAGTGCCAGTCTTCAATCTTTGTTCGAATATCCCGTTTTTTTTTGCACGTGTTACTTTCTTTTTGGATTCAACATGAATTTTATTCGACGGGCATCCCGTTTGAACGTTGTACATGGTGGCGCGACTTTGTGTAGACAAAATCAGCACACAAAAAAAAAGTTCAGCGCCTGCATCACTTGCTGTAGGCGTATATTTCCATGAGCCTGGTTGACATGCTCTCGGATGATGTCTTTCATGACTTGTGTCAAGGAACCATGCCCCCACTGCCGTGCGGTTTCCGCATGTGTTGCTAAAGCAGTAGCCTTGAAGCTATGCTGTTTTAAGGCCGGATCATACTCAGCAACACCGTGCCAACCACAGTTGGTACAGCTCGAACATTGGAAGCGATAGTAAAAGTTGCCGCGTTGCCAATCGTTTTGGACCACATTGATGGAAGTTGGCTTTGCTCTGGTGGACCGAGCCCATTCTCGGAGCATTTTTACAAATGCTTCACGTGTGAGAGCGGGTCCCTCATGCGAACTGCTGTTGACCAGGGTGAAGTCTGCTCTCGGCCGTTGTCGCGCGGCGGCTGGTCGTCTGCATGCTACGGCCGGTTTCTTTTTAGGACTTCCCACCTGCAAGATCTTGAACAGCAACTTTTGTTAGGATACAACTCGGTCCCAGATACGAACGTATTAACATAAAATCAAAGCCATAGGTCATGCGTGCATCGTTAAACACCACTTGATGAAATTGAGCTTGTCTGTCCAATTTTGAGGAACTAATGCAGGTTGCATCCCGTTGCGCACCCAACATCCACAAATTTCGTTTCCATCTCATTAGTGGCTCGCAGTCAGAAATGAAACTGACCTAGCTATTTTATGGCAATGTCTCCAACAGTGTGGCTGCGCTCTCGCAAGCACACGTATAACCCCGGTACTTGCCTGGCAACGGAAACCACCGAGCTTGTACATCTGCAATGTTTCTTCATCAGCTTGTAGTGCCTCAAGTCTCAAAGAGCTGAGCAGTAACAATGGCAAAGACTTACACGACCACGCTGTTTTAGTAGAACTGCCATGCTACAAAGGCCGGGCTACAAAATACATCTAAACAAAAGAAAGTTGCCACCTGCGGCTGGCATGTCCAAGCGGAAGCGATACCCAAACAGCAATGTCGCCTCACCAAAGACACTACGAGAGGCGGTAGCTGTACGCAACCAGATTTGGCATAGCCCAGAGTGGTGGTGTGTCGCAGGGACTGGCCAAAATCCGAAACGTAGTGTATCTGTAGCGTTGCACCTGCCTCAGACAACAGGGCATGCAGTTTTCGCAATGTCTGTGGAGCTCCGTGAGGAAGAGGTGTGATGTCGAGTGGTAGCTTCTCCGCTGTGGCAATGCGCCAGCATTCCTCTGTCAAGAGATTTTTGCTACAGCTCGATAAGGCAGACATACCCATCGAAATTGCCAAGTGTAGTGGGGCGCAGGCGTGCTGCATCCCTTGCCACACACCTCCAAAATCGATCAACTGAGGCCCCGGTGGCATCCTTGCAATTTCAAGACCTTGTGATCCCACAAGGATTTTGAGCTCGTCCCGGCATTTTTGTGTCATTGTTCCTAATGTCAGCCTCAACCTGAGCGGATTGGATCGGGGGCCACCATGCTGAAGGACAGGTAGTTCTGCTGCTTGTGGACCTTGGATCTCACCTGCACCATACTCGACTGCCAAGTCAAACAATTCCCTCACGCGGTCCAAGCGACCACGATAGCATCTGCGAATGCTGTTCACCATGGCCACAGTGATAAACTGCTCGCGAGAATGCTTTTGCAGGAGGCGAATAAGATCCAGCCTCATGCGACTTTCACACACGAAAAGGTGGCCCTGGTAGTTATAAGATTGTTTTTTTTGGCACAGGTAGTGCCTTAGATGTCACTGCTATGACGTTCAACCAAAATATATAGCTATACATACATTATCAAAAACATGTATTCCACGGTCCCTCGTGTCCACTCGGTCTGCTGTTTGGCTTTCTTGCCTTACCGATATACCATACCCAATAGAAAATATTTAAACTAAATGCACTATATTTCGTTTTGATATTTCATACATAAAGACATATTGAATGGCGAAATAAAAACCAATAAAGAGATATATATATATTTTCACAAACCACGTATACCATATATATATACACATATTGAAAGGCTGAAAGTGTTTTGGTAATGGGCAAATGTATGTATATAAATATATATATATGCGCACTGACTTCGGAACATTGTATGAATTGTATGTTCGCCAGCATCGAAACAACCCTACACCACACTAAACCAAAAAATGGAGGGGGGTTGGGGGCGAGGCCTGAAGAGGGACTTTAGCGTCTATTCAAGATCAGAAACGTCTTCCCAAGACAGCTCACACACTTTTTACTCTCTGCGTATTGCAAGTCCGTGTTGGTGTCTATAGATACCTCTCTTGAGCCTTGAGGTTGCATATAGATGTGCTCAATACTCATGCATGTACCTGGATAGGTATTGGCTTAAAATAAAAAAGCAGTGAAGATAGGGAAGAGAGCAAGACTTTACTCCCAAAAAAAAAGGCGGGAGGGGGGTGCCGGGGGGAGGTCGCAGCGCCTCCCCCCGCAGGGCGTAGCAAGGACATGAGACGATGGAAAATTGTACTTATGCGTGTAGGTGATGAAAACTAAAATGGGAAGGGATGACACAAAGAGAGGAGATGCATCAGTGAAGATATACTTTTTGTCGATAAGACGGCGCCGAAGATATAGGAAGAATGCTTTTTTTCACGTTGCGCAGTTCAGAGCGCAACCCTTCCACGATATGCTGGAAGATTCTACGTGCGCATGTGATTGTGGACGAATGCACCTCCCCATGATGAAAACCCACAAGGGAAGGGATAACCACAAGATAGGAAATGCAGCAGTGAAGAGACAGTTTTATAACAAAGACGAAGACGCAATTAAAGATATGGACAAAAACTCTTTGTTTGAGCTTGCATTCAAGACATCACTTAGGCTCAAACTTAAAGTAAACAACAAAGAAAAGACATAGCAAGCAAAAAGGCAAAGCAGTGTGTCTTGACAGGGAAGAGAGCAAGACTTTACTCCCAACAAAAAAAGGCGGGAGGGGGGTGCAGGGGGGAGGGCGCAGCGCCTCCCCCGCAGGGCGTAGCAAGGACATGAGACGATGGGAAATTGTACTTATGCGTGTGGGTGATGAAACTAAAGTGGGAAGGGATGACACAAAGAGAGGAGATGCATCAGTGAAGATATACTTTTTGTCGATAAGACGGCGCCGAAGATATAGGAAGAATGCTTTGTTTTAAGTTGCGCAGTTCAGAGCGCAACCCTACAACGAAATGCAGTGAAGATATAGTTTTGCAACGAAGACGGCATTAAAGATATGGACAAAAACTCTTTGTTTGAGCTTGCGTTCAAGACATCACTTAGGCTCAAACTGAAGGTAAACAACAAAGAAAGGACATAGCAAGCAAAAAGGCAAAGCAGTGATGACAGGGAAGAGGGCAAGACTTTACCCCCAAAAAACAGGCGGGAGGGGGGTGCAGGGGGGAGGGCGCAGCGCCTCCCCCCGCAGGGCGTAGCAAGGACATGAGACGATGGAAAATTGTACTTATGCGTGTGGGTGATGAAAACTAAAATGGGAAGGGATGACAGAAAAAGAGAAGATGCAGCCACGGAAAAGCACAGCATGTCGGGCAATTTCTAACCGCCAGAACTGCCGCATGTCACACACATGCGCTGTACGATATTTGTTTTTATCACATCTGCGATCTACAGATCGAGGGCAGCAACTCTCAGTATAGTAGGTATGTGGATTCCTAAACTACCTTGGACAATCAAATGTATATATATATATATACAAATATTCATATTGAAAGGTTGAATGTATCTTGTTAACCGACATCTATATATATATGTGTGTATACATTGACTTCGGCATATATCACTTTTTAACCTCTCTCTTATAAACCTCTCATCACATCACACTGTTTCGATTCTTTTGCCAGAATATAATTGCATACAAATGTTAGCAGAGCTATGGCACAAACAAACAAATAAGACCCTGGCTTGGCTTGATTTTCTGAATGCTTTTGATTTGGATTCAGGTCCACCAGCGCCACCGGAGGGTCACATCGAAGTTCAGGAGGCAAAGAGATCTCATTGCGAAGAACGTGGAGGCCATACACCTGCTGCCAAAGCCATGCTGGTAGAGCCAGAATTGTTTGGCTTCTCAACGTGTGCCACTGAGAATGTAGTCGGCCATGCAAGTTCTGACTGTAGACATGTGAGACCAGAGCTGGCGAGGTTGCAGTGAAGTAATGCTTCTTCAACGTTGGCTTCAAGAATGAAGGACATTCACGGCTCAAGCATTGCACTTCTTTCTTGTAGTCCTCATACATCTTCGCAGCCACAGAATCAGGCGACATGTGCTCTAAAGTATCTCCCTTCACGCGCTGGCCAAGTGTAGATGCCACATTCACCTGCAGGGACAGATTCTGAACTATTGACTGTCAAGGCCGAGGTCCAGCTTACGGATAAAGCCCCTTCTTGAAAACGCACAAATCAATAAATATCGTGCTTCAATCCAAAACAGTCGAGTCGCCCATAAACCACGAAGGTAGTCAAGAGCTGGGCAAAAGCTAACTTCTTCCAGATCTTCCTGCATCTCTTCTTCATCGTCTGCAAACAGGTACACAAAGCGATGTTCCAGACCAAGGCCACGCATTCGCGATTGTTTGGTCATCACGGCAGCAAACCCTTCGTGGAGGGCTCTCGGTTGGCCAAGTAGACATACGCCCAGGTTCGTCCGGGGCGCAAAGAAGCTTCTATCTTTTTTGCCTAGCCACATTGTCATGCCAAAAGATAGTGCATCCAGAAAAATGTTCACAAGACAACCTTGCCCAATTGTAGCCGGCCACTTTGTCACCGCACAACTACTTATGTCCCGCCAGTCCTTTACCCGGATCACCAAATCACAGACAATGTCTCCCGTTGCGTCTATGTCCATCTGTCTATCTCGGTCAATGTGTCTATCTGTTTGCCTTTTGATCCGTCTGTCCAGTCTTTCTGTGGGGTTAGTACCAGAAGCATCATTCTAGCATGAGACGACACGTGGCTTCTACGAGTACAAAAGTACACCTCGAATTAACATATCGCAACATACTTTCAGTGTTCCGCAAGCAGTGTGAAAAAAAGTTTCTGGAACAACTCAGGCTCCAACTTTTCAATGACCGGGGTCCATAGGGCCCTCCGTTTTGAGTCGACAAAAGAGTTTGCAAATCCACTTTGGACACATCCTTCGACTTACTTAGCCCACTCAGAAAATCAGTGTCCAGCACGGAAATACTCTCATCACTTGCCAAGAACAAGCAACCTCCGGATTCGTCCATGCGCTCAGCAAAGTCTGCATCCGAACCACGCGCAAATAGGGCGCCTTTGGGACCACATTCAGCGAATAGATCTGGATGTGAGCTGAGGAGAGAAGAAGTCACTGTGAGACACGGTTGGATCACATGTTCGTAGAATGGTGATTTGCCGGCGCCTGACTCAGCAGTCAAGACAACATGACAGCGCGGGCGTGTCTTCCATTCCGGCTTCTTCACATGAAATTTGGCGTGCACATCGGCTCCAAGAATCCACGATCCAAAGGACAAAAGCCATCCAAGAACCTAAGTCAACCAATTCTCGCACAACTGCGACAAAATAGATCACCTTCAAAGTCACTGTACAAACATTTACCGTTCTGTCCAATCAATTGACATTCTGAGGCATTTTTATCTCGAGTGAAGCGAAAAGCCATCCAGGTCAATTGCTCGGTGGAAGTGGTGCGGCTCACAAACAAGGTCGGGCTGGCACTTTGGGCAGTGGCAACCATCAAGACCATCTATGTCACTTGCTTGGTGGAAGTGGTGCGGCTCGTGAACACGGTCGGGCTTGCGCTTTGCGCAGTGGCAACTATCAAGATCTTCTATGTCACTCGCGAAAAGCCATCCAGGTCAATTGCTTGGTGGAAGTGGTGCGGCTCACGAACAAGGTCGGGCTGGCACTTTGGGCAGTGGCAACCATCAACACCATCTATGTCACTTGCTTGGTGGAAGTGGTGCGGCTCGTGAACACGGTCGGGCTTGCGCTTTGCGCAGTGGCAACCATCAAGATCTTCTATGTCACTCGCTTGGTGGAAGTGGGGCAGTTCGTGAACAAGTTCGGGCTAGCACTTTGAGCAGTGGCAACTATCCTATCAAGAATACCAAGGGCACTTGCGCGGTGGATGCGGAGATCTTGCACTTCAAGGTCGGGCTTCGCATGGTGGCAGCGGTGCTGGACCTCAACAAGCTCGAGCCTCGCAGGGCGATGGTGGTCTATACCCTGGCGATCGGGCTTTTGGAGCATCGCATCTACATGCTGATCCGGATGGACGTTTCGGTGGAGATCTTCGGCATGGTGGCGGAGGAAATTTGCGCGGTGGAGTGGACCCCATCCCGACCTCATGGGAAAACGGGGGATCACCTCATTCACAGCAATCCCAAGAAGAGCGAGCTGCTGGACACATGGGAGTTCCTCAACAGCATCGTCCACAGGAACTCCAAGGGCGACCTGACATGAAGGCCTTGGGCCCGATCGCCTGAGCGCAGTGGAAAAAGCACTTCTTGAACGATCATCTTCCAGCACGGCGTGACTGTTCTCATTGCGTTCGAGCACAGGGACGTAGCCGGCCACACAGACGAATTCGGCACGCAGAAGCCTGCACCCTCAGCATTGAACTATCAGACCGAATGTCACCAGGTGGGGATCAAGGGGCACAAGGTGTCAAGTATCTCATGGTGGCGTGCTACACGATGCGTGTGGATCGCAATAGATGATCACTGCTGCCGGTTCCTGGTCGTGACCATGCTGCCAAGGACCAACCACTGCTGGACTTGGAGGAGGATGTTGAAGGTGACGGAAGAAGGCGAGGATCAGCCTCCACCAGATCAAAATCAACTTCTACCTGAAGAAGATGAGCCTCTTGAAGAGGGTGATGGCAAGAACGTCAAGGAGGCCAAGTCGTTGTACGACACCTGCCACTGACGGAATAAGGCGACGATCAGCCTCCACCAGATCAAGAGCAACTTCTACCTGAAGAAGATGAGCCTCTTGAAGAGGGTGATGACAAGAACGTCAAGGAGGCCAAGTCGTTGTACGACACCTGGCACAAACTGGTGGATGAGGCGCAGAATGTGGCTGTGAAACAGATCACATTTGTGGAGCCGGTCAAGTCTCGAGCGGTCCAGCACGTGCTGCCGGCCTTGGCTCGAGTATACTGCAGACTTCGAAGCCTAGGACTTCCTCTATATTTATATCGCCTTCACTCCGACCGTGCAAAAGAGTTTTGCTCTGAGCAGGTGAAGACTTGGGCCAAGGAACGTGATGTGGTCACCACCATGACCTCTGGCAGCTCTTTCAAAACGAATGGCCGAGTCGAAGGGGAGATGAACGTGATCAAGAAATCCATCAGGACCCTCATCTCAGCTGGTGCAAGCACTTTGCAACCATGGCCTCTTGCAGCTCGCCACATTGGCGAGAGACGTCTTCGAGCTCAACTGCAATTTCTGGGTTTGCCAGTGGGGAGACTTTTGCGTTTTGGAGCCAAAGCCTATGCACTGCCAAAGTCATGGCAAGCCAGGTATGCGCCTTGGAGAGAGGTTAGGGAAGAGGTAACAATCCTTGGCCCCGACATGAGCTCTTCACTGACCAACACGGGCTACTATGTGGAGTCCAAGGAAACTGGCCGCCGATTCTTCACGGATAACATTGTGATTCCGGAAGTGCAACAACCAGCGGTCGAGGATTAGGTTCCTTATTTACTTGAGCGTCCTGAAGCCATGCCAATGAGACGCCAACAGGTGAAAGCAAGAGTGCCAGCAATTTCAATGTTGAACATTGAGGGGGAGAGGGTGATCACTCAAAGATTTCCTGACATGTTTGAACCCAAACCTCTCGATGAGGATTCAAGTGACAGCTGGAGTTTGGAGACGGAAAAATCGTCTTCATCAACATCGAGCTCGCCAAGAAGATCTGAAGGTCCGGAGGGGGATTGGTGGATTGGTGGAGGGGATGTGGAGGGAGTGCCTAATACCTGGTGCGGTGGCTCAAGCCCAGGAACCCCAACAAATCAAGAACAGAGCTCCAGCTCCAGAGCGCCAACTTTGCGGCGACTGCACTGCAATGTCACTGAGTACACCCGGGATGAGATGAATTTGGTCGACGCAACATCCCTGGACCAAACTTTGTGGATGCTCACTTTGAACCAAGCCATGCTGAATCGAGTGTCCTTGGAAGCCCAACTGTGTGCCTTGGAAGAAGCAACGGCGATGGAAAACAAGGTGACTAAGGAGTTCCTGGTCACAAAGACCATCAGCAACAAGGAGGTATGGGAGTCACTGCCACTATAGGAGGAGTCAATCAAAGTGGAGTATGATCAGCTGGTGAAACAAAAGAAGGCAGCGATTGGGTTGGTCAACGGTACTACGTGCTCTCCCTGGAGGACGAGACATCTACGCATCAGAGCGTCGATCCTCCGTGAGGCCACTGAGGACACCGATGCGGATGGTGGTGGACTATGGCGGCTGCTTCATTTGAAGGGGTCAGAACTTGTGGCCGACGGCTTGACGAAGCAGCTCAATGGCCAAGCTTTCTTCAGGTTTGTGGAGGACTTGGGTATCAAGAAGGCGACATCTACGAAGTCTGTAGGGCCCCAGCCAGATCATGCAAGAGATCAACATGGACGAGGTGATGCTCAGACAGCTATGAAAGCTATCATGGTGGGTAGCTTGCTGATGTCTTCGGCAAAGGCCATGGAAGAGGAAGACACGGAGAAGGATGACATGACGCCGATCTTCGCAACAGGCGCAGTCTTGATGGCGCTAGGGGCAGTCTATGCCGGGCAATTGATCTACAAAGTTTCTCAATGCTGCCTGAAACGATTGCAAGCTCCAGGAGATAGCGAAGTTCCAAGTGATCGGGTGAGAGGCAAGCAACATGAATGCAAAGGTGAAAATGCAACAACAGTGTCGGAAGATAAGAGTGCGGCTGAGGGCATGTCGGTGAGATCGTCGAGAGGATCGGGCTCTGGCGAGCAAACTGGCAGCGGCCCAATGCCGACTTCATCCTTGAGGGTGAGAACACGCTCGGGCGCTGGTGGCGCTTCATCTCTGACATTGCCATCAGGATCGGGCTCCAGGGCGATGGTGTCTGGCGCTACAACGAAAACTATGACATCACAATCGGGCAGGAGCAGTGCTTCCTGTGATGAGGCGGCTGGCTCCGCTACCAGGAGTATGACATGCGATGAGCGTGCCGATGGTGGGTCTACATCATTCCCATCCAGGACCCAGTCGGGCTCTAGCAATGAAAGGGGCACTACTTCATAGAGTATGTCCGGACACTCGGGCTTGCGTATGTTGCGCGATGTCGATGCAGCAAATGCTGCTGATTTGCAGAGCACAGCATTGGCGAGCGATGCCATGCGTGGTGCTGACGACGCGGTGGTAGGTCGATCAACAGGATCGATTAGAAATCCATAGAACGCATTTCAGCACCTGCACAAGGATAAGGGGCTGACATCAACAATGATGTCAAAGATGTACAAGAGCGAGAAGAAGAAGACCCATGTAAAGATGCCTTGAGCCTGGTGAAGGTGCACAAATCAAGAAGTGTACCATGACATTTGTTGGATTCCCAACAAGGGGGAGTCTGTCCAATCAATTGACATTCTACGGCACTTTAATCTCGAGTGAAGCGAAAAAAGACTGTGCCCCTCACAAGACCGTATTTCGGTAGCCTAAATTCCCACAGTCTAAGCAATCAAGTCTAGTAGCCATCTCTTCGGAGTAGCCACAGAAAAGACTGAAGCGAATCACGACTGCAAGAGCAAAGCAAGGCATCAGGCGAGGCAAGTCCAAGCGTTGTCTCATAGCATCTGTCACACTATGACTGCAGTTCGCTTGTAGCCGGCATCTTAAGAGTGCAAGCTCCTTCTGCATCAGTGCTAAGTAATCCGCCCGCGGGCAGTCTGGCCACTCACCAGGCAATGCCTGAAAGGCTTGCTGTAGTTCTTCATGAGTATACTGACCAGACAGGTGTCTTTGATACAAGTCCTGCGCGTACTTCTCCAGGGTTGCTTCTCGCTGTCTCCAAAACGCATCACCTTGACAGAACCACACACGCACAAGGTCAGACAACTATATTATTTGCATTTCCGAGCATTAGATGCAATTCTTTCTCGAGCATGTTAATGTCTTAGCGTCTGTCTGTTTGCTTTAGGCCTAAATCCCTGAAAGGATATCTCTGCACTGCAATCAACAGTCCAGTCAACCATCCGATACCGCACGCTGTTTGCGCGCATTTCAAGGGAACACCTAAAGGGAACCAACCCCGGCCAATCTAAAGCGGCAGAGTGGCAAGCGAAATCTGGAGTCACAGCAACCGTTGGTGGTGCAGTCTGAAAAGTATGACCGTGCACAAGCCGATGACAAGCCACTGGACTTTCCACGGCACGACATGTTTCACCGCACCTAGCAGTTGGACCATCACCTGCAGGGTCTGCATCGGCATCAATCAAAACCTCTACAGGCGTCTCAGGTGGGACACACAAATATATAAGACATAATCTCTCTGACTGGCAGCACCACATCCATTACCACGACTGGAATGATATTCAAATAGCACATTACGAAGCCTGCTGTCCTTTTCGCCTTCGCAAGTAAGTACACATGCATGAGGTCAGCATCAACATGACAGCCTGGTTCCACAGCCACACGCAGCTGCAAAGGATTGCCAGTAAGTCGAGGCAACCAGTCTGAAGCTGATGCCACTGGATAACCTTCCGGGCCAAGGATGCAAAAGACACACCAACATGTCCTCTCACCCTTTGCGTGTTCCCAGCAACATGCTTTAAATATCTATGCCTCACCATTTAGCATCTGCTCTCTCAGTTCTCTGGCAACAGGACAAACCAGCCAACCTTCCACGCTATATCAATGTTGCCCCCGGTGACCGCGAACCGATGCACGCCGGGGGCGCCCGTACACCCTCTCGCCCTTTCGAAAACAAACGACGCTGTTGGAATCATCTTTTTCTGCAGCGTATCTACTTCAAACCTTTCTGCGCACAGGCGCGACAACTTAACCACCAGTTTGATAGAAATATTGCCATATGTCGGTGCGCAAGGAAGGTAAGCAAGTGTTCAACACAGGCGGATCAAAACACAAGATGTTTACTACAGAATGACGGGCGCTTCAGAAGATGAGTTAGTGTTCGTCTTATTTCGTCTTCTTCATCACATGGCGCAAAAATATGCCATCTTTCTTTGTGATGAGATCCATGAATTCCAGAATCAGAATACAAAATGCTCAGGCAGCCAAGCGGACGCCTGTAGCCGGAAGATTTTGCATTGGCGACCCAATGACCGTTTCGGCGACAGATCGTTGCGATGTCAGCTCACCACTGCCTGCTTGGTGTCCGGCACTATACGCCAGAAATATAAAACAAACAAACACATGGAATCAAAATCGACATGGATTTAAAATTACTTTCGCTTCATACCTGCCGTAAGCGTTCACAATTGAGAATGCAAAAAATGCAAAGCCAGCCAGAAGAACGCCTTCGACGGAAACACTGTTCATCGGCGACACAGCATGCGTGGTTGGGACAGATCGCGGTGAAGTCCTGCCGCCATTGCCTGATTGCTGTTCGTGGCTGCTTTTGAGGTTAACAACAACAAGCACACGGTTGGGAACAGATCACGGTCAGCTGTGTTTCAGAGGCACAACTAGACAGTCCATTAGCCCTGTGTATATATCCATACATATATACCTGCAGTTTCTACTACAAATCCACCGTATCAGCTTCAAACAAAGCATGCATCGTTTCCAAGCCTTCGAGCATCATGCTGTACTTCGTCTTTGATAACCAGCGACAGTGACTAAACCCACACACACACACCCAAAAAAGGAATAATCAGCATTCTGACCTCTGGTCATCCGAAGATTCAGCATTATAGGAGCCGCGGCTAGACGAACTGGTGATGTTGCGATCGCATCAGGTCCTGAAGGGTCTGATTCATTGTACAGCAGCTTTGCTAGCTAGTATGCAAAGCAGTTCTGCATCAAGTAACGACAATATGTATTTCGCACTATTTCAATAATCGAAAACCGGCCTACGTCTGCAACTAAAAGTATAGATATATGTCTAAATGTACAATTCATCCTCTCCAACTGGCCTCCGGCGGGCATACTCTGGCTCTGCCGGCTCTGCGAAGTTGCAGCGTTTCGTCGACTGCCTGTACGCCAGTCCAGCGAGCGAGAGAGAAAGAGAGAGATAGAGATTGTATCTGGGCGCACTTTCTATGTAGAACTTTGTTTCAACTCTTTGTATAGGCATAAGAGACATATTTGTGAAACCTCGACATCGCTGAGTTTACAAAGGCCGAACTTTGCCGCCTGGGTCCTGCTCCATGACGTCGATCTCTGCATTGTCTTCATCTCGGACATACAATGCGAGAAATCCAAGACGTCAAACACGCACAGCTACAATGCTCCCGAGACTTTTGCAAAGTCAACGCCTTCTATAAACAATGTTCATGCCACCTATGTTTGCATGCTCACAGACATTTGCGCGCACGCCTCCCGATACCAAGTCAAACACTCCGGTCAAGGCTGCTGGCATGACGTGCTCGCGCTCGCTGAGGCAGACTGCTTTGTGTCTGGGCTCTGAGTCCAAACAATAGTTCGCTGCCGCCTCTACATCGCCGGGAAAAAGTCTCATAGCTTTCCGCGCTATGCTGGCAGAGACACCCAGCGACATTAACGGCTCGATGTCCAGATCTGGTTCGAGCATGCCGCACAACACCGGCTGCGCATTCGACCAGCGCATGTCCTCAACACATCCAATTGATGTTTCTTGCTGTTTTTCATTTAATTCTGTGTTTCGCTTTTGACAACCCAAACTTTGCGTCATGGTGACAGATCTGGCAAAAACCTATGAAACAAAACTCTGAATGAGTTGGATGAGTGCAAATTTGAAGCGGGGAAACAAAAGAAGTCATCCATAATCTCTCCATACCGTGATTTCCACTGGTATCACAGCTCATCCTCTGGCCTGTTGGTCGCTGGCTGCAAAGGCCACATGGCCCACGTACCTAGTGAGATTTCAAGCCTGTTTGCTAGAACAACGTTTCAGCCAACCAGAAAATCTAAACACTCAGCAGCAATGTAACGCACAGACCTGTGAAGATCGAAAGAGGTTTTGATGAGATTTGAACCAATTTTGGACAACCAAAAAAAATCATCAAGAAGTTCTAACGATGGACTCTAGACATCTAAAAGAAATCAAGCCATCAACCGTTAAAACTATCAGTCAAACCACCGTTAGCCCCCAAGACAAACCGCGGTGAACCCCAGACAACGACATGATAAGCAAGCAGCTGCTGCCAAGCCACGGGGAGACTTCGACTTCTCCAACGAGGTTGACATCTTCCTCCAAGTGATCTGAGCTCAAAATCAGCAAGTCCTCAGTCCTGAATGCTTCAAGACCTGGAAGCTCATGGGCCGGAGAAAAGCAAAGTCAGATCACCAAAAAACACCCACAACAAACCAGTCATTAAAAACAACGTCCAAAATTATAACCACATCATAGTCATTCTGTCTTGTGAATCCAGCAAATGCTGAAAAATGCATGAAAATGACTCCGTAACAAAATGGCCAATGTATTTTTTTGGCGCCTCGCAGTTCTTGTGGCCCATCCTTTTGCAGATTTAACCAGCCATCTCCAGCATAAAGGTCCTGGAATTAGAACGATAGTTCCATTCATGACATCAACAAACATCAAGCATTCTCGACTGCCAATGGTTCACCCTAATTTTCAACAATAAGGTTTGTGATGGTCATCATTTGTATCACCCTCAGATATTCCTTCTGTTGACTAACTATGTTTAACATCTTGATGCCTATCCAGCACGCAAACTCCTTGGGGCCGTAAGTGTAGCTAAGCTGCACCACCAAATGCGACCCGCTTGGTGGTGGCCATTGCTCGCACTCCAACCATTTCCTGGCAGCACCATGTCAACAGGTGGATGGGAAACTGAGAAATACATGGAATTTCTGATCCTTATATACTACGCTTACATTTTAAAAACAATAGTCTTTAACAATAATTTTGGTGGCCATTACTTGGTCATAGTTTCTCTCGGATCCAATGAAGCGAACGCACCCCCCGGTCCGCAGCTTCTGTCCCAGCGTCTCTTCCTTCTCCGTGAGCAGCTCAATGCGCATAGCCTTTTTTGGTGCCTCCGCAGCACCCCCACGGCCCGAATGTTCCCGGTAACAGCGTCCCGTCTCTACTGCGACCCTTAACAGCCAGAATCATTACAATCATCGATCACCAATAACATCATTTTCATCATTATAACTCTATACATATATATATATACTGCGGTGTGATGACTTAGGCCGAACGCATCCTAATGACATAGACCTTTAGCTAGGGAATAGTCTATCTCATGTGCCCGTATCTCAAAATAAAAAAATACCTGACAAATGTGCAAAATCACATAACTTCGGCCGTTCAGGCAACCACATCTCTGATGAACTTTTTTTTTTGTTCACCTGATGACATGGGTCACGCACATGTTTTTTCCCCTGAAACCTTCTATGTCATCTGGAGTGTTACCCAATGATTTGGGCCGGCGATGATGTTCCTGTGCGGATTGCCCCATCTCATGTTTCAGAACACTTGCACAAGAGTCCAGAACACCGCACTGGCCAATATACAAAGTAGGTAGCAGCTGTAAATGCTGCAGGCACAGACTTGCCAACACAGTCACAGGAATTGGGCATAGTAAACGTATTCTTGCATGTATGCATGTACGTGCGCTCATGTATGTGCGTATACAAATGTAAAATCAGATTACACATCTTCAAAAATAAAAAATATATATATATATAAATAATAACGATATATAATTATATATATAATAACGTCTGGATCAGACGTATGGAACGAAGGTATGGAACAGAGGTATGGAACGGATCCTTCACGGAGGTATGGAACGGGGGTATGGAATGGGTATGGCCCCGGACCTTCTTCCGGACCTTATATTTTGACTTGCACCCATGTGGGCCCATGACATACGACAAGTGATTTTGAAGTTATCTCCGACACCTCCTATGTCTGCAGACTTCATGATTATTATAAAGTTTAGAAAGTGTGGATTGCAGCAGACCTGGGTTTCATCATCTGTTCTTTGATACTGTTCCCGCCCTACTTTGAAACATGACGTCTTCATATCATTGGGACACACCGGATTCCGTATATGCTGCCGAGCCTTCCTTCCATGGTTCATCGAGACTCCAAGGTGCCGCTCCGCGTCGATGGTTAGTCGCATGTCCGTAACTCGAATCGCCTTAACTGAATAATGCTACAAGCATCTCAAAACATCTGATAACCAAATCAAAGTACATTTGACCAGTTCCTGTTTTCACCACATTCGTAGCAACACCTTCGTAATGTCACGCTGGCAATCCAAAAAGAAAACCGACATATTCGAATAAAGTTTCGAAGTCAAACTTCCGACAATATGGACAGATAAAAAGCAGAGCAGGGAAGAGACAGAGAGAGAAGAGAAAGATTAGAAGACAGAAGAGTGGAAGAGAAAGAGTCGGAAGAAAGAAGATGCAGATGCGCGAAAAGGTAGGAAAGTCGCGATTCACTGTGTTTTTCCAATAATTTGTGGCTCCGGAGGGTAGATAGATAGATAAATAGATAGATAGATAGATAGATACACAGACAGACACAGACAGATAGATAGATAGGCAGACAGACAGATAGATAGATAGATAGACGGATAGATAGATAGATAGATAGATAGATAGATGGATAGATAGATAGATAGAGATAGATAGATAGATAGATAGATAGACAAATAGATAGATAGATAGATAGATAGGTAGATAGATAGATAGAAAGATTGATAGATAGATAGATAGATAGATAGATGGATGGATAGATAGATAGATAGATAGATGGATGGAAAGATAGATAGAGAGACAGCTAGACAGATAGACAGTCAGACAGAAACAGATATAGATAGAGAGAGATAGATCGATAGATACATAGATAGATCGGTAGGTAGGTAGATAGTCAGAGAAAGAGAGAGAAAGAGAGGAGACCTCAAGCACCTTTCGGTCTATCAGTGGATTCGCTCTGCCATCCCTGCTTCACAACAAACAAGCTCTCCTATAGGTTTCCTATTTTTGAACATTCCGCCACCGCCTTATGCGGTACTACCTGGTACTTTCAGACAAATCTATCGAAGCTGAACCTTTCAAAACCACAACATATAATATGCTTGGGGGCGCCGATGCAAATGCGGCTCGTTTTGTGACATTCACGCAAAGCGGCTCTATCATGCTGGCCCCGTCGACATCTTGGCATAACCCCACGGCATTTCTTCCACCTACAATTTAGGGGCACGTCAGCCGCAACTTGTCCATGCAATGTCTTTGGCTACTGTTTGCACTCAAATTGCAACTGTATAATACATTGACACGAACCTGAAACGCTCATACGTGAAGCGAGGCAGCACCAGTACGCCAGCAGCTGGCGGCGTCAAGGTCCCAAACAACAAGAACAGGCCGAGAAGGCCGAAATGCAAGCGTCGCATGGCTGGGGTGTATTTGGGGCAATACTTTTTTGCCAAAAAATGAATGCAAACGTTTCTGACATGATCTGTCCACAGACAATGTTTGACCATGACAATCAGGAGGATGCATGACCATCATCATGTGAGACATTCAGAAAGGTCTGGTCTTGTCCAAAAAAATTTCTCAAAACCGTTTACTGCATGGACATTGTGCAGGTTGACTCGAATCTAAACTATATATTGCCGTTGCTATGTCTGGCCACTACATAGAGGTCGTTCTATATGTCTAAGCTGCTGTTGGATTGCCGAGCAAACATCTGAAGGATCCGGGATAGCCCCAAATCGCTGCTGAGCTATGTTTGAATGCCACTTATAGCATCATGTTGCAACGCACTCATGCCTTCCACCTGCTCTCCAAAAACAAAGCCAGCATCACTGATCTGAGGTCAATAATACCTTGTACAAGTACAAGAACCAACAAGAACCAAGAACCAGCAAGAACCAAGAACCAGCGAAAACCAAAAGCCAAGAACCAAGAACCAGCAAGAACCAAGAACCAAGAAGGACCAAGAACCAAAAACCAAGAACCAAGAACCAGCAAAAAAAAACAAGAGCCAAGAAACAAGAACCAGCAAGAACTAAGAACCAAGAAGCACCAAGAACCAGCAAAGAACCAGCAAAAGCCAAGAACCAAGAACCAGCAAAAAAAAAGGCCAAGAACCAAGAACCAGCAAGAACCAAGAACCAGCAAAAACCAAGAACCAAAAACCAGCAAGAACCAAGAATCAGCAAAACCAAGAACCAAGAACCAGCAAAAACCAAGAACCAAGAACCAAGATCCAGCAAAAACCAAGAACCAAGAACCAGCAAGAACCAAGAACCAGCGCCTGGACGCGTTTGAAAACGATCCGTTGGGTGCGTTTGAAAACGATCCGTCCCCGCGTTTGAAAACGAGCTATTTCCGCGTTTGAAAACGAGGCGTTTTCCACTCTGATGTTGCTTGGCTGCTCAACCTTGGCCAAGCACCACATACAGGAGTTTGGACTGCCGCAACAACCGCACAGCACCTGCCAACCTCTCTGGCGCGCCTTTTCAGTGAGGAAACGCTCAACCACCTCAATGTTAACAGTTGCCTGATTTCTGCAATACTAGCTGTCCTGCTTATTGCTACTGCTCCAGAAGAATTTGGCATCCCTGAGTGTACCACTACGGTGGAAGCAGCGGCTTGGCAGGCCCA